TTCCGCCATGCATACCACCCCTTGTTATGTCCAAATAACTGAATTTTAGTTTCATCAGTCCACAGCACCTTATTCCAAAATGAAGCTGGCTTGTCCAAATGTGCTTTAGTATACCTCAAGTGACTGTTTTTGTGGCATGGGTGCAGAAAAGGCTTCTGCTGCATTACTCTCCCATATAACATGTCCTTGTGCAAAGTGCGCTGAATAGTTGAACGATGCATAGTGACACCATCTGGAGCAAGATCATTTTTCTTGGCCTGCCACTACGGGCCTTAACTAGAACTGTGCCTGTGGTCTTCCATTTCCTCACTATGTTCCTCACAGTGGAAACTGACAGCTGAAATCTCTGAGCTAGCTTTTTGTATCCTTCCCCCACACTATGGTGTTGAACAATCTTTGTTTTCAGGTCATTTGACAGTTGTTTTGAGGCTCCCATGTTGCCAGTCTTCAGAGAAGATGCAAAGGGGAGAACAACTTGCAACTGGCCACCTTAAACACTATATCTCATGATTGGCTTCACCTGTGTATGTAGGTCAAGGGTCAATGAGCTTACCAAACAAATTTTGTGTTCCAATAATTAGTGCTAAAGGTATTCAAATCAATTAAAAAACAAGGGTGCCCAAATTTATGCACCTGCCTACTTTTGTTTAAGTAATTATTGCACACTTTCTGTAAAACCTATGAACTTCATTTCACTTCTTAAATATCACTGTGTTTGTTTGCTATATGATACATTTAATTGCTGTTCCGAACAACCAATGATCCATAAAGAAAAATCTTGAAAATGATCAGGGGTGCCCAAACTTTTTCATACCACTGTATATATAAATGTGTGTTTTATATAAATATAAAAATGTGTTTAATAAATAAGAGTGTAAACTTGCCTGTGCTGTAGAAGGTACTGAGCATTCTGGATTTGATCCTGTGTGCCAATAATGGTGATTATTCGATCCTCAGCACCTTCCAGAGGCTCATCGATTTTGATAGAGGCTCCAGAGTCATGACGGATCTGTTTGATCCTCTGGCCTCCCTTACCAATAATAGACCCAGCAAGCTGTCAGCATAAAACAGACACAAAAAGTTGATGAGTTCTGCTTTAATTAGGGAATAAGATTAAAGTGTTCTTATCCATTTCAACTGACTAGCATTAAAGATGAACATGGTTAAAATGAAAAGTGCTAAAAATTAATACAATTAAAATCTTCAGGTCATCTTGATTTATTAAATTTATTGACCAAATTGAAAAGTTAGTGTACAGTGGAAATCAACACTTTTGTAATATTGCTTTTTTAAGTCTTAAAAGAAAGTATCTGTCAAACAGGTTGACCTTTTCTTGTCTGCTTTAAATGTAAGAGATCATTTTGATACAACATTTTAGAACTGCCATAAATGTGTGAACTATGAGGCCATGGTTTCCAGATAAAGTGAGTCTAAGTTGTTTTAATTATTACTACTGTAACAGGCCAAGAGAGACTTAATGCATGTAATGTCATTTTAAAAACAATTGTTACTTAGAACTGATGATCTTTATATGTATTACTTATTTAAGCTTTTAATAAACTGATGATTTCACAGTTATTTCCCCCCATTACCTTGTATATCATAATGCATGTGTTTTGCTGGTTTTAAAAACACCTACATTTTACTTTCTAATAAAGAAGACAAAGCAGTGTTAAATGGCTCAACACGTGAACATGTCACTTTGATCATTTAAAAACTACAAAAGTGTCTGGGTAATATTTGGTTTGAATTGAGTGAACTTTATAATGTAACAAATATTATTTACAACAAGAAACATTCTGTGGTCTTCTTGGATGTTCCAGTCTTTTACTTACATCTTTGGGGATCGTCACTTGTGTGGTGACAGTAGGACCACTTATATCACTGTAGGAGCCTCGTCCACCTTGTGAAAGGGGAAAGATATGGAATCAGACAGGAAATAACAGGAAGTAGAGCACCAAAAAAAAAAAGAAATAAAGAAATTCAAGCTGTTCTGTTTATGCAAAAAAACCCAACCAAAACTATAAAAATAACACAAAACTCACCTGACTGGTAGCTATCCCAAGATGAACTGTTGTCTAACATGAAAAGAAGTGACAAAATGACTGTTATTTAGCATTTTACATTAAGAAAAAAAAAAACCCTTTTTATTTTTAAACAAGGCCTTGGTAAATTTTAGGGAATCTAAAGCACAACATTATTTTTCAATAATTCACGATAAAATGTATACATGAACAACAATGAACAGATTATTAGATAGACAACACATCTGTATAATACCATAGAAAATTGATCATAAGCACTTACCATATGCCCCCCNNGGGAAAAAGGAAAGACCAGAGATTACTTTAATGTCTTAGAACCCAGACAAATACTGTATATGCACACTTTAATGTATGGACGACACTTCAACCTTGTATATCGACCAAACTCAACTAAAAGCCACCCAGATTTCAACCATAAGTCAGACTCCTCCCTCTTCCTCCCTGTCTCTACTTGCATCTCCATCACCCCACATTTTCACCTGCTATTCAGCTGCTGCTGTCATCAGGGCAACATGCAATTCAAAAAGCTGTTGCTAAGCAACAGCAGGCAGTATCCTGCCAGCTCTCAGAGAGAGACAGAGACCTTCCAGTCTGTCAACAAAGCGTTGTTATTGCCTAGCAACCATGTATGCCCATCCCCAACATCTTCTGTCTATGCAGGAAATGCAGGCTGGTCTTGAAAAGTACACAGTAGGAGGGTAATTATGTGTCTCCAGCTGTGGTGATTATGGTCATTTGGTTAGGAGGCTTTACACCAAGCCAAATCTAGCCTAGATGTATATCCAATTGGAATCAAACGGTAATGCAGAATGTGACAACAACATACAGTATACAGTTTATAGTCAGTGGTAATTGTTACATTGGCAAATGAATATTACTGAATATTTGCTAGCTTGTGAACAAATTGCCTGAATCCCTTAGTGTCTTATAAGATACTATATACATTCAGATGGGGATACTAACCATGCTATCGCTGTAGCGATCTGGTCTGCTTCTTCTGTCACTGTTGACAAAGGAGAACCAGAGAGGTGAGAAGATGGTTGAGAGGCAGTGAGAAAGAGAAATGTGGGTTGGGGTGGAGAGAAAGGGAAAATGCTTAGAGAAAATGCTTGACAACATTTCAAAGAGAAATTCTGGTCTGGGTCAAGCTGCACACACATGCTGAGCAAGATTACAGTATAAACACATTTTTTCTCAGCCATCTTTCCACACAGTAAAAGGAACAGCTCTCACAGTGTTATAGTGAAAGGAGTGACAGGTGGTGGTGGTGATGATCAGAGCCAACTACTGTTGTTTGTCCCCCTCCTCAAAACCATCTTAAAAAAAAAAGGAATTTACAAAAGATGTATCTTGATATTGAAAGACAGTTTGTACTTCATATACTTACAATAAATTTTAATAACTTAAAATTAATGTTCTAATAAAAATGTATTTTTTGTCACTGCACGTTGCCATGTTTCCTTTTGTACAGAAAATATTTATATACATATATATATATAATATATGTATAAGAATATACAGTATTCTTTGTCTTTTAATGGAATTACATATTAAACAGATATTTCGAGTTCCAATGTTTAATTCATGTTTGAATTTTTTTCTTTTAACCAAACCCCCCAAAAACATTGTATGTGTACACCAATTCCTGGTTATATTTAGTGGAAAACATAACTACTATATTTTCCGCAGTATAAGGCGCACTTAGAAGCCTTTAATTTTCTCAAAAATCGACGGTGCGCTTTATATATTACTTTTTATTGCGCTTACGGACCTCGAACCGATTTTATAATGCCAAACCACACCGCACATCACACATGATGGAACACAACTGAAGCACACTGGGAGCCAACAATGACGTTTAACTCTGTTATGACAATTAGAAGATGCTCAACAACAATTATTACAGTGTGGTTGTGTAACCCAAATCCGTGCAAAGTTGCGTCGTGCCTCCAAACACCCGGAGACTGAGTTCTGTTTTTGAATTGTCGAGGTATGGTGCGATGCAGGACAACTCAGAACCATGGCTGTTGATTTTTTCGTCTTCAAAACGTATTTCTCCTTTTTTTAATCGATACAGGAAAAACACACACTCTCTCTCTCTCTATGCAAAACAACATCCGCACTTCCGCACGGAACAGCGTCAAAACAACAATACGGTGACCACCCAGAACAAAAATAGTAACAACCGCCTGACTCTGGAGGGGCGAACAACAACAACAGCATCCTCCAGTGTCCTACTTAGGTCACTACCCTTTTATCAGTCTCTAATGTCGTCCGAGCTTTCACGAAGGCCGGAATCATAACTGAACAACTAATTAACAGCAACGAGACAGACTCAGATAATGTGCCTTATAGCCCGGTGCGCCTTATGTATGAAAATATTCCCGTTCATTGATAGTGCGCCTTATAATGCAGTGCACCCTACGGTCCGAAGAATACAGTAATAACTCGAATAACATATAAATATAAAATCAGTGTACAAGTAGACATGTATTTTCTTGCAGCCGCACAATGTAAACATTTAATTGACACTTACTGAAAAAAAAACAAAACAAACAAAAGGCCTTTTAAGTTCATAAAATATGAAATTTAGAATTTCTAGCAGAAGACAGACCACAGAGAGAAAAGAATATTAAAACAGGTAATACTGGCCTATGACCACAACATGTAGATAGACTAATGAGATGAGGGAAAGTAAAGCACAAAGACAAAATCACATCTGATTAGTAGGTAGAAGAACAAGTTAAATTGAATAGGTGGAAGAACTTGGGTGAGAAAAGGACTTGACAGCAGGATAAAACTGCCGTAACAAACTTTTTTGAGTTACGAGAGGTAACAAAACATTGGCACTGAAAATAAAAACTGTTGAGTTTCAACAACATATAGAGTGGGGCTGTACTGTTGCACTGTCTCACTCACTTTCCCTCGCTGGGTTATTTTACCTATTTCTATAACAATAATATAAAAAGTGTTAATCTGGTATTAAAAATATATTATCAATATATTTGTTTATATCTATGTTTTTTATGTTTAGATAGGGGGCATTTTAATTTAATTGATTAATAGTACATTCCTGGGGGGCTGGAAAGAAGTAATTGGTTTTTAGTTATTTAAAAAAAGAAAAGAAAATGCAATCTAGATACGAGCAGATCGACATACAAGTGCTATTGTGGAACAGACTAAAGTCACATCTTGAAGCCCCACTGTACACTAAACACCTCAGCATCTGCAAAACAGAGTAGGAATGCTGCTCTACAGGAGGCATATCTGCAAGAATTTATGGGGTATCTTTAATGAATCAATTACAAACTAATGATTTAATGGAATGTAAAATAACAACATGATCCACATGTAATAATTTTTGATAACACAAACATTGAGTGTGGACATGAACTTACTTTGACCTTTCATCTGAGCCACGGTACGAGTCATAGTAACGATCATCTCTGCAGTCAAGATGGAAATGGAAAAGAGACACACAAACACACCCACACACACAGTAATGAGCACATACGGTTAATGAGGTGATAATTATGAATACAAAGTCATTTCGAATGTAAAGATTATCCTAAAGTCTGATTAATCAGAAGAGAAAATAACATTTGATAGTGTTTCGCCCTTTTAGTTTAGTTTGATACAAGCCAAAAAACAAATTCTTAAATACAGTCTAATATACCGTAGCTTAAATTACCCCATGAAATTAGGCAGCAACAATTTTTGAATTTTACTTTTTGGAGCGAGATAAACATTAAGAACTTAATTACATGGCTAGGAATCATGAAAAGACTCATGTTTGTTTATGAAAGAAAAAGTAAAGCTAGACAACAATCAAAACCATGGGCTCCGTAATTCTCTTACCCTCCTCTGTGTGGATGTCCAATGGACATGTTGCGTCCACGGCTACTTCCCCTGCTGACTCTGCTTGGGTGAGGAGGAGGACCTCGACGGGGGCTCATATCATCGTAGTCCCGACGAGAGGGGGGCATGGGACCACGTGGGCCTCTGCTGGAAGACATCCTTTCATAGCCACGGTCTCCAGCGCTGGACCTTCCACCACGCATTGGGAAGCCTCCCATCATTCTTCGGCTGCTGCCCCGGTCTTCAAACATCATGGTGAATCCACCGTATTCATAGGTTTCGTCGTAGAAGTTTGGGTCATAGGGCTGGGCGCGACCTTTTATGGGGGCCTTAAAAAGCAATGGTAGTATAATTGACAGTAAAGATTCACCTTCATAACAATATTCTACATTTGGAAATACCATTTACAAAAAGCTTCACTTAAAATAAAAGCCTTACATCAGCGATGAGCTCGAGCATGGTCTTGATACACTCCACCACTCTCTCTGTTTTACCACCAACTAGCACCACACGGTCTGTTGACTGAGGACAGCACTCCTGAAACAGCTTGATGCTGGTTTTTGTATTCTATTAAAAAAAAAAAAAGTTTTCAGGAAATTATTTAGATATAGAAAAAGCCAAAGCCAAAGTATTTTCTGTAAAAATGAATCTTTTTTTTTTTGCTACAAGATGCTTCATTACTTCTAGCAGTAAAAGGAAAACATTGTATAAAATTAAAAACAATTACCTCCCGGAGCTCCTTAATTTTGGCTCCCTTCACCCCAATGATTGAGCCCGCAAGGCTCTGATGGATCAGCAAACGCAGCTCACAGTCAAAATCCATACCATTATACTGCTGGTACTGAGGAGGGATAAGTTATACGTCAGAACCAATACAATGTAAAAACCCAGCAATAATAAAAGTGGAAAATAGCAGAAAATAGTGGAAAATAACTAAATCAACAAGCAGATAATTTGATCAAGATAAAAATCATAAACACAATTATAACTTTTTAGAAATAGTAACACCTCTTCAAGTGTTGGAATAATCTTGAGCAGGATTTCTCCAACTGTCTCAATATCAGCACTGATGCTCAGGATGCTTCATGTCAAAGCCACCAGTGACAAGTTGAATAGCCAAACACAAGGAGTGGTGTCGGGATGGTGCAGACATCCCAAGGAGAGAGAGAGAAAAAAAGAAATAAAAAAGAACATTTTAGATTAAAAATTACTACATTGCATGTTCTAAACAAACTAACCCATTTAAAATGAACCCTTTAGGGACTAAGATTTTTTCTAAAAAAATACATGTTGTAGAATGGTGTTTACCGGAACATGCTGAGAACAAAGTCATTTAAAACTGTAAACTAGAAATACACCAATACCGAATGTATAACATCACAAAGGTCAAAGAGGACATAGACAGAAAGAAAGAAAATAGACCCCAAGAAAAGTGACTGCAATTGGTAAAAGTCTGAAAACACATACTTGCAGCAGCTTGCGTCAAGTGTTCCAAAGAACTCATATTTTGTTAAGCATAAAATGATGGATGCACACACCAAAGACTGGAGGTATAACTTTGTAATAACTCAATAAAGTCTTAACAAATGCATATACAGACAAACTATTTTGTAAGCATGTATGTTATTTTGTTGTCTGCATCCACCTTGTGATGAAACAAACAAAAAAATCTAACACAAAGAAGACATTTTAGCACATTTGTACACTGAAGCAGAATGGGGGGAAAGGAGGGACGACAGGAAGAGGGCTGATTACGCCATGAAAAACTGAATTTGTCTTCTGGAATCTGTATGCGTTGAATTGGTTGGACAGGCGACAAACAAAAATGTAAAGGTGAGCAGGCTGGAAATTATATTCTCAAGCTCTAACAATCAATATTAAGTAGTTAGGATTGACGTGGAAGTAGGAAAAGAACACAAGTAAACACAAAACACTTGAGTTCTTGCTCGCCTATTGCAATACAAAATGGAATGACAACAAGGATATCACAAGGAAGGAATGAAATGTTTGAGAAGCAGGAGTGAGTTCAATAGAAAAACAAAAAACATCAGTCTGTCAACTTTGAAGACCACAGAGGTGAAAAGCTGAAGATAAAGAGGAAATATAATTGTCCATGAAAATAAAAAGAATGACATGTTGCAGAAATTGCTGTAGAGTTTAAAGTGGCAAAGTATTGGAAAATCCCTAACACCACCCTACACATTAACACTGATGTGTTTGTAAGAACTGTTGCATAAAAGGAAGCATACACGACTGTAACAGGCAGAGTTGGACATTACCGCCTCAAGTTAATTTGACTCTGGCTAAAAGACTGAGGACATGTAGGTTAAAAATACAGTGACTTGACAAAAGCAGGATGTTCACTATTCATTTCTTGTTTTTTCTTTGACCTGTAGTCAGGCAGTGAGAGGGAGGAGCTTAGGGACATACCGCTCAGGCCCACTGCTGTCTGGGACTGACACACTGGCATTGTACTGGGCGTGGCATGGGCAGGGGCCAGGGCCATTCGAGCAGAGATGTCAATCAAGTAAGGCGCCCATTTAAGGACAGGGCACGATTATGGGCAGGGCCAACCAGGGTTTCAGGTGGGCGGGCGGGCGTGCGCAGGAGGGGCCATCCAGAACATGGGCAACAGAGGAGGAAGTGGGCAAACAGTCAACAGTAAAATAAACAAGGGAGAGGGAAGAGGTTACATTTTAATATGCAGGCTCTACACTGATTCAAATGAAAACTGATTTTGTTTCTCTCAGAGGTTAGTTTGTCAAAGAGAGAAAACAAGAAAATGTGACACTGAAAAACGGGTAATGGCATTTTAAAACAAAGAGATCAACCTGGGATTATAGACCTGAAAAGGTAAGAAAGTGGGAAGGGGTACGGGGGTAGAACAAATATGAACCGTTACAGAAAGAGACAGTGACAATGAATTATTTATTGTTGGACCAAGTTTTCTAACATCAAAAAAAGTAATCTCGGCAGCATTAGTAGATATCTAGCTCTGTGCCAATAATATTGAAGTTATAAAAAGAATTCAAGGCAATAGGGTTGATTTTATACATCAATATTAAAGAAAATATTTTTAACCAAAGCTCAGTTTAGAAAAACATGAGGCTCACACTAGAATCAACTTTACAAGAGTGTTCAGGCATCAGCTAGCCACAGCCTTTGTTTACACAAGAGCAGGGTCTTCCAAATAACATAGGTAAGGGTAAGAACTACTTTTGTCTTAAAAGTGATGAAAAAAGACAAATGATTTCAGAGTGTAAACAAAATGTCTGAGCAGAGTTTCTGATGTAATTTTTTCAGTACTCACGTCTGTACGCAGGGCTTTGATGTTTTTACCACCCTTTCCAATCACAGCTCCTGCGTTCTGAAAGAAAAAAAAAATGGAAATGAAGGTAACAGACAAAAATTGTGGTCAAATTGAAGTGGTAAAATTGAAGAAAAAAAGTTGTCTTATGAATACATGTCCGTGTTCATCATATACAAACAAAGGGAGACCAATTTACTTTGCTCTGCAGGAGGATGCGAAGCTCAACCATCTCGTCTGAATTCCTCGAGCGCTTGAACGATTTCTGTTCATCTGCATCCTCAGCAGGGCGCTTACCTGGTATAATGAGATAAAAAAAAAAAGAATATCAGAATCCTTGATCATGAAATAATCAACTAGTCACACATGCATAATAGAAAAAACAGAAAAAACCTAGGTGTTGTTTTGTTTCTTAGAATCTTGCTTAATACTTTGTCCAATACACAAACTCAAGTACTGCGTGACAAAATTCTACAGAGTTGGACACTATTTTTCAGCATATTATTCTTATACTGCCAGTTTTATTCTGAATCCTTACATGTAGCACTTGAACTGAACATAGCTGAACATAGCTGCAGAAGAAAACAAGACAAATCTTCTACAACATTTATGAATAATCTTATTAAATGTCTTATGTTCAATAAAAATCTTAACACAAAACAGACAACATGGTGAGATATTTATACCGTTTGTCTCGTTGTTGCTAAATGATTCTTCGTGCTGTTCAATTTCTGTCTCCATGGTCTTCTGACAGTCAAAGCGACGAGTTGGACACCGTGTAAAAAACAGGCAGCAACAGATGGAGAGCAGAAAATTGGCCCCGTTGAGCTTCAGTGGTCTGTCAGCATTATATAAAGGAAAATTATTAAGTCCGGCATTAACAACCCTGTTCTGGAGATCACGCTTACGTGAGAACGAAATCTGCAAGGAAAACTGATGAAGCGACCGACATTTATTTAATTTTACAGACAGGGGCGTGTTCAAAGGCGGAAATAAAATCTCACGGACCAAACATCTGCTGCAACCTGCCGTAGAGGAAATACTTAAACACAGACAACAACGGCCGGAACGTTTCACTCCTTTACAGTATATACGTAACAATTGGTCAACCGTAATAATCAAAAATAATGTTTGACTTAGAGGGAAAGCGTTTTTTAATCTCATGTCAATATTACAAATACACTCCCCACGTTAGATACGATAGCTTGAATAGATGTTTTGAATAGGGGGAGGTGCGACGGTTTCTTCTCATTAATCTGCGCTTAAGTAGCTTCACACGTTTCCGTGGCTACCACTCATTAAATGAACCACTGTGCATTAGCAACCGAATTCAAATGTCATATTATTCCTATTATGAATCAATACTGTTCAGAAGTATTGTTAATGGCTGCCTAAGCAAATGCAAACCTATTTAATGAAACTGTTAGCCACTTCGATGCTAAGTAGCTTTATAGGAATGCAAAGAGCGTCACTTCAAACTTAATTATCACCATTAAAAAAGTTTACCTAATACTCAACTGCACAAATACATGTACATGACGCAGTGAGGTGACATAATGGAAAAATGAGCTGAAAACGTTTTATTTAATTATTACACAAACGTTAGTCGGTTACGCTAGCTGCTAACTATATTCGCCATGTTGCACACATTTCGGTTGAACACAGGTTGGGCTAACCAGGCCGATTGATTAACCAATATTTGAAGTGGACACTAAACACGTCATAAATAATACCAGGAGTGCTTTACGATGGCTCCTGTTACTCGATTACGCTAATACGAACTGGAATATAGGATAATGAACCACTAAAATAACGAACCTTCCGTGTGAGTCCTCACTCGTCCCCTTCCTTCTCTACCAACCAACCTTAAAATGTGGGTTGAACTTAACTGCCCCTATTGGTGGAGCAGGGAAAATGGCATCCAATAGGGAGTTATGATTGGTTTAAATAGACGTCAGTTCTAAAATAGAGGGACGCTTTTGAGCGCCTTTTTCCGGTTGCTTGTTCGTTAACAAATTTGAGGTTTTCCGGCCCTTCCAGTTCAGGAGATGTGATCCTTAAGAAATTTTTAATTTACACAAAACCTCATGCAAGTGTTATACCTAGTACTCCAGATTCAATGATATATGCGTGCACCTTGTTGGAATAGTTACCTGTGTTAGTTTAACTCTGGCGCCTTGACTGATTCCCTTCTTCACTGCAGAGAGGCTGCTTCCGTGTTTGGCGGGTAACGTTTATCACAACGTAAACCTTTATTTCACTTGTATACATATTTTCACCTCCAGAATATTAAGACATGACTACCCAGGACACTAGGAATGAGCCATAGTATTGTGTTTACGGCAAAATAACGAAGTTATACTTGTGGTCGCTCTCCATTAACCAGTCAAGAGATTAGAAGTCCATCAGGGGCGATTTACTAGGTGATGTGTACTGAATTCAGTTACCATATATATGGAAGCTGAATTCATATATAAATCGTAACTGCTATGGTAATGTAGATGCACACACACACACACACACACACACACACACACTGTATATACATTTAATGTTATTTAAATGAAAATTTCTTTGTGCTCAGGCTCAAAATATATACATTGGGAGAAAGGAAATGCCCCCTCACACTCAGGCAGTGACCAGTGCTACCCAAGCCTGGCTACAGTCCTCCTGGAATATCCAGGTTCCGTTTGCCTGGCTTGAAGCCTGTGTGGAATGGGCACAAGAAGAGGCAGGAGGTGCAGGCTGTCTGTCACAGCAGCAAATAAACCAGCAGGTAGGACCTGGCAGTACTGTAGGTCACTCTACCTGTGCATCTGTCAGATTAGGACAACATGCTCTATTGGACTAACGTGAGCAATTAAGGAGTGAACGATCACCTCCTGACACATGAATCTCTCTTACTATTGTGTTAGCTGTACCATTTAGTATCACTTGTACGCCACAGTGTATTGAACAGCTGGGTCTCTCCCTTGCCAAAGTAGATTTTCCCCCCAGAAGGATAATGCTGTATTTTCAAGGCAAGTGTGTTCTGAAGCTTATGATTCCAGAAACATAAGACATGTTTGGGAGGGTTAGTGTGCAGAACAAATATGTTTATATTACATAACCAAATGTTATCATTTATTTTAAGAGCTTGGATTTATGCTCTACTATCTAACTTGCTGTCAAAAGCCAAATCGACAATAAAGTTGACCTGACAAGACATGATAGATAAATAAATGATAAACTAATAGGTTTGCCAGTACAGTGTCACAGTAAAAATGTTACACATCCTAACATTGTATTGTGCATTTTGTGTAACTTCAGGTCCTGGACCAGTGGTTGTTGACAGATCTAAGAGACCTGGACTATCCTGTTCTCCCAAGAAATCTTTCTGAGGCACAAAAGACTGAACTCAATGGCACCTTCTGTGTTCAGGTACAAAATAGTTGATTATCAAAGTTGTTTAATATTTTCTTTGTGTAATTGTTAGAATTTATAAAACCCCAAAATATCATAGAAACACAGGATTATTATTATTAAAACTGTTTAATATTACCTTTAAATTTGACATAAATATCAATTTTTCACAAATCTGTTCCACCTCACAGTCTTACTTAGATTCTCAAAATATTATTACAAATGCTATAATGCATGACTGATTAAATTCAAGACAGCAGCTTTATAAAGAAGCTGTACATGCTTTTAGAATTTTTTTTCTGCAATATTGCCACCACTTTTTTTGCATCACTATAAGACAATATACAGTATTAACCCTAACCAATGTTTACAGAAATACAAAATAAGCCTCATATAGTTAAGAAAATAATAATTTCCCTTTGTATAATCAATCAATTTATCAACTTTATTGTATTGTACTAAACCTCATTACATTGAGAATAAGAATGTCCTGATTTTCATACTTGTTGTTTGTTTATGTAATACACCTTAGGCATTACATATTCCAAATGTCCCAATTGCTGACTTGATTAGCAAAAAGTAGTAAGGACTAAGTCACTGCTATTGATCACTTTATGAAAAAAAAAAAAGATTAAAGCACAATCAGGATAGAGGCCATGTTATTACAGAACCTCCCCGGGGCTGCAGTTTTCTATTGTAAGAGAAATATAAAAACTCTGCTGGAAACAACAAATTATTCTGCAAATTTTCATTGTCATATTTTAACTAAGATGTGTCAAACTTGGTTTTTAAGGTTTAATGTGATTATGCCATTATATGTGCGGCTCTGTTTTAGGTTGACATGATGCTGGACGTCAGTCAGCCCGCGTATGGTCAGCTGCAGCAGTGGAAGGGCAGAGACTGCAGCAACAATGAGGTTTCTGCAGTCACACAGACCATGCAGAGGCCTTGGGAAGCCAAACCCACACGGATGTTATTGTTACAGGTCATTATGTGTTAATAATAATGTGTTAGAATCACCTTTAAATGCAGACTGTGAAGTCGTAATGTTGGCCTACCTCAAGAAACAATGGACAGGATATTCTTTTAGTTTTCAGCTCGATGTCTTTAGTAAAAAATAGGAAAACAAGCATCTAACGAGAGGTCCAGTGGTTGTTTACATGATCAAAGATTGGGTTGATAATTGATAATCAATGACATTTTAAACATTGTGAGTGTATTCATTTCATTTTAAATTTTTCCTCCTGAGTTTACATCAAGGTTTTTTAGTCACGGTAATGAAGACGTCTGCTTCTCTTCCTACGTGAATGTGAGTGAACTGGTCCAGCCAATGAGAATATACAAAAGAGCAAATTGCTGGAATATGAGGCACAGTCTGTAATTTTGATCTGAAGCGTACACTTCCCACTGCTCTTAGGTTTCTCAAGAATTGTATTGGACAGGTGTTGGTTAGAAACAGAGCTTTTTTAAAAAAAATCATTATTTCTCAAACCATTTCCAGCATGACACGGTTTTAGGAGACATGGGATGCAGTGCACCTGAAAATGTACAGTAGCCACAGCCAAAGTCAAGAACATGACGTGGTGGACTGTACACGGTTTTGGCTATAAAGTTTTTACCAAACTTGAATATGATCTCAAAAGAAAATATTTTTATCATGTTAATAATAATTGTTATTATTGCTATTATTATATTTTATTATTATTACTATAAATATTTTAATATATTTAGTATATATATATATAGTATATATAAATTTATACATACATATACATATATAATGTATATTTTTTGTTTGTTTTTTACAATAGTGTCTTTTATTCTTGTTTGTTGCACAGATAACAGATGGAATCCAAAACCTTGAAGCCGTGGAATATCAGCCCATCCCTTCACTCAGTGTTGATCTCAGGTAAGGATTGATTTGTGAAAAAAATGTGGGTTTTTTTTGCTTTTGGTGTAGAGATCAAAATATGAAGATTATACTTAAATGCCGATGATGCACTTAGACCCGGTGCTAAAGTGCAGCTTCAGGGGAAGATAATCTGCAGACTTGGGATGTTGCTGTTGGGGCCGTCACATGTCAAAGTCCTGGGTGGTGAAGTGGAGGATTTGGTGGAAAGGAATAAGCCGGTAAAGTCATTTTCTGTTACCTGTCCGATGTAGAGTTTCATTCGTTTTATTGCAGGGTTTTAGAGCATGAACTGTCTACTGGATCATGCCATAATGCAGATAATACGAAAATAGTGCAATATTTCTCTGTTTTTCTGACAGGGCCGTGTGTTGTGTCGGACACTGGGTCTCCCAGAAGAGGACCAACAACAACAGCAGCAGCAGCCAGAGCAGTGTGACAGAGAGGCTCCACCAACACCACAACAGGGTAAACCAACAGTATACATCAGTGCATCTCTAGAGTCTACATCAAGAGTATAGAATCATTATCCAGTGGTCAAAGTCACTGCCTGACGCAAACTACTTTCCTGTAATATTTAGTTTAATATAAAATAGTAAATGTCAGTTGTGTTCATATTCTATGAAAGTCACGTCCAATTTTTCTTTAGTTAACCGTGAAGTGTACGACCTGGACCTTGACGATGCTGAGTTGTTGGCCAGTCTGGATGCACAAGAGGACGTAGAAAGTGTTCAGATGGAGTCTGTTCAAGACAGTGGCTACAGAACACATAGTGACATCTTCACACAATCTTCAAGAGGTTCCGCTGTCAGGAGTGTTTTGTCTGCAGCTTCATCCAGGTGGGTGGAGGAACATTTTCAAAATATTGTCACTCAGATTTCTGACAGAAATGTGACCCTATTATAAAGCCTGGTTTTGTTATTCCTGTATTTTATTTGGTGTTTTCTAGGAGTGAAGTTTTCTTCCATACTAACAGAACTGGTTTGATCCAGAACAGCAGAGGTGGATCACTCATGGAGGACCCTGACCATACATCTTCTGACCAGGAGAATCAAATAGTAGAAGACTTCCCTGATGAAGACTTTGATGAGCTCCTGTTGGAGGAGCTGAACGGTGCAACTGTTCGGCAAACTCCAACTGTGGCAGCACAGTCGCTCTGTCACGGAAACGCACCACAAAATAACAACAGAACCAGTTTAGGTTTAAACATTACCTCCGCAGGTCAAACAGCACGGTTCCAACAGCACACATTACGTGGTTCTGGGTCACGTTTTTTAGCAGCTCAAGAGCTGTCATCTGAACAACAATTTGATGGGAATATTGAGATGGATTTTATGGATGAGGACATGGAGTGTTTTTTTAATGAGGAAGAATCCACCACAGCGACAGGAGGGCAAAATCGGTTCCCTGTAAAACAAGGACTTAGTAAAGACCCAGTAAACACCAGGGCATCAGGGTTCAGTTGTTCACACAGCAGTGATTCAATAGAAACTGTGAGGCGTCCACACAGTGACAGCAGAGACCTTCTCCCTACTCTCACCTCTCCACCATTTACTTACTTGTGCCAGAACACTGGGCCAAATCATAATACCACTGAAATACGAGTCAAAGCTTTCATTGTGACTCTTTTGGGGAAACTGAGCAGCAGCAACAATAGGTGGAGTATCTGCGCCACAGTGTCAGATGGAACAGGTTACTTGGATGTGGAACTTTCTGATGCAGTTCTGACAGGCCTGCTGGGCTTCTCTGTTGCTGAGAAGGTAGCTCAGAGACGAGACCCGGCCCGGAGGAGTGAGCTTCAAGCTGGGATGTGCAGATGTCAGGAGGAGCTGGTGGATATGTGTTGTGTTATGACAATTAAGATTCAATCACATGAGTCAAAGCCTGTTGTTACAAAGGCAGAGCAGGTCAGTAAGAAGGTTCTCCAAGAGCTGGAGATCAGGGGAAGAGACAGAAGAAGATAAACAGAAGCAGCAGAAGCCTACATTTTTGTACAGTGCCCCATTTTGGAGATAGTACTGTTGTTGAGCCCCTCCGTGTAGACAGATTCACAGCGATTGCTTCAAAACTTTTTAAATTCTTTTTATAACATGGCATTGTTTGCCTTGCGGTGAACGTCCTTATATTAGCTCTGTGTCCTCTCAATTTTGCATGATTTAAGTGTGTAAAATCTGGTAGGATCCTGCGGGTGGTGAGTCCACTGGATGGTTCATTAGAAGACTCCCTTCATGAAAATGCTGTTGAGATCCATTTTAGGGTTTTGTAAGGCAGAATGTGTGAAGTGAATGTCTGCAGATCACCCAGCAGTGTGCAGCACTGCATCCCATCTGCTATATGTGAATGTGACATTCTACCGTTTGTCATGAAGATTCCATTCATCTATTCACAATTCTGTTTCCTGCTTGAATGCATTGTCAGTACAAATGGAACATTTGATCTATAGACTGTAATTGGTGATAGGTTATTCATATTGTTCTGTTCCAACACGCACAGCTGAGAGCATTCAGATTGTATGTAACATTTAAATCTGTGCATAGAAAGGGTATTTTAGATGAGTGACAGTTGTAAAGGATAAGAAGAATTTGTATTCAGAATTTTGCAATGATTTCCCAGTCTGTGGATTCATTCAGTACATCCATTGCATCTTGCTTAGAAATGATTAAATATCCAATGGCAGTGTGGGCCTTTAATGAGCTCCTCCAGATGCAAATGAAAGAAAAGAGAGACAAAGGGGAGGCCATGATATTAGATTATTTCTGTTGATTACTGACCCTCGGTTAGATTTGTCTTCCGTGAATGTGTCCTCCAGACACGTTGTTGTGCCTGTATTTTTCTTATACTGAAATAAACTCTGAAGGTTTTATTATAAGTACCATGGCTAATGAATTGTGTTTGAAGTAGGAGCTCTGCTAATTTTACCTTTGCAGCGATGGATGAATAACTGGACTGCTGTGCCATCCACTATACTGCATGATTGAAAAGCTGTATATATATATGTATGTATATACTGTATATATACAGCTCTTTATTTTGCCAGGTTGGACACTTTAGTGGGTGAGTTGCCAGTTGATGATCACTGCTGTAAAGTAAAAATCCAATGGATTGATTCCAAAGGAAGGTTCTAGGAGAAGATGCAAATGATATATTGTCTACCATTTGTTAATGTTATAACATGGTGGTTCGATAGGTCAGCTTGTGTAGCATTAATTGCATTTCACAGTCAATTATCCATAATAAGTTGAATATTGAGTATTTTCCTCTAAATTTGTAAATTGACCATTACTCAAAATGTGTATATTTAAACTTGTAAATAAACTATATGTATTTTAATAGTATTAGTAATCATTTAATAGTTATTTTAATTGATAGAAGCACAACTATGTTGATATAAAAAACATCAGTAAATGCACGTGAGACCAAACCAAGTGCTTACATCTGTGCTCCTCTGTTTGCCTCCGTGGAGGCCACAGGCATGTTACTCTTCTGTGCCACTGTATGCGTTTCTATTCAGGTGGCCTGGTCTTAGTTCATTAAAATATAATCAGGTTGAACATCTAAATCAGGACCCCACTATGAATGTTGATCGCCTGTTATGCACTAATGGGCCGTGATAAAATGTCGGGGTTAGTGCAGAGGAGGGGGAGGAGCAGCCTGTAAGAGGGCGACCGTTGAATAGGAGTTGGTTAAATGAGACCAGGATAGCGTTCTCACATGGAAGTGATGTGACACTCAAACCTGGTTATAACAGCGGGGCCACATGCAGGTGGTAATTAGTCTGATTGTTAATTGTATCATCCATTACCTTGTATGTGTCTGCATATTCGAAATATGCACTTTTTATTTCATAATAAAAAATAAACATTAATTTACAATTTAGAGATACACTGACCACAGGCAAATATAGTATGTTCTAATATTTCTGTTTTACATTTTAATATCAGTAATGTAATTATCACTGTTTCACTGCATTTTTATAAGCATCCAGACATTAAAGAAGAGGTGAAACTTCTAATGTCAGACATTTCAGCAGGTCACAGGATATCAAATTGAAAATTAAATTAGTCTTATATTACATCATAATTGATGTGATGGTGTTGACCTTGTTGCTCTCCTTTAGCCAAGAAAGTGCTTAATAAATATTGCAGTATTTTGTTTCAAGTGAAAGAGTTAAGTATCATTTCTAATATTAATAATAAGTGTCCCGCATGTTTGTATGTCTGATGACCTAAACAGCATGTGTACTGAAGACCATATAAATCACTGTAGGTACTACCACAATCCTTTTAAGGGCTCTAGCTACCATAATTCCACTTCTTCCGGTAAATCCACATACGTCACGACCAGTGACCTCCGCAACCTTTAAATTGGGGGGTCAGCCCCAATTTCAGTCTCTCTGTTCAGGACTTTCTCTCCGTGGAACCCCTGATGAAAAGAGAAACCTGCTCGTCTCAGAAGAAGAACCAACGCGCTTTTGTAGACACCATTGCCCACGGTGATAAATGCACTAGTAGCATCTTTTTCTTAGCTGAGTTAAGCGATAATTAAGTTACACAAGTAACGTAGCACTGCGACCAAAGCAGTTATTGAAAAGTTTAGAAGCGACAGGATTCCTTCTAACAGTAATCGTGTGAACATAGACAATCAGAGACTTTTCCTACCGAAGTAGAGATTTGTTGTTCGCGAGTGATTCGTTCAAAATGAACGAATCTTTCATATGACTCGTGACTCCCGAGTCATATTAAATATTTGTTCATATTGAACTCACGAATCACTCACAAATCACTCACTGCGAACTAATCACACTCTGCGAACTAAGCACTCACTGCGAACAAGTCACTCTCTGCGAACTAATCTTTCGCTGTGAACTAATCTTTCGCCGTGAACTAATCTTCTGCTGTGAACTAATCTTTCGCTATGAACGAATCATTCTCTGTGAACTAATCTTTCGCCGTGAACTAATCTTCTGCTGTGAACTAATCTTTCGCTATGAACGAATCATTCTCTGTGAACTAATCTTTCGCCGTGAACTAATCTTCTGCTGTGAACTAATCTTTCGCTATGAACGAATCATTCTCTGTGAACTAATCTTTCGCTGTGAACGAATCATTCTCTGTGAACTAATCTTTCGCCGTGAACTAATCTTTCGCTGTGAACTAATCTTTCGCCGTGAACTAATCACTATGAACGGATCATTCTCTGTGAAGTAATCTTTCGCTTCGTTCTCGCAGATTCGTTTCATTTGTCACGTGAAAGAGCTCGGGTCTTTTTTGCTCTCATTCATCTTCACATAATGGTTCTTAGCTTTTCGCATGGTTTTAACTGCTTATGGCATTTTGTGTACTTTGTAGACTTTGTCAGCGGAAGCAAACCATGTTGCCTTCAGTATTTAGTGTCAGAGAACCGCAGCCTTCTTTACAACGCCCGCAATAGGGCTAAAGCGCCACATGCTGTAAAACGAATGAAATGATTAGTTCAAGATTCGTTCACGACTCGTTCATTTTACTGTTCGAGAGTCAAAGATTCGAATCAATAAAAATAGTCGGTCTTCCCATCACTATACCGAAGCGGACTTTCAGAACCAAGAGGTAGTGATGGGAAGACCGACTCTTGAATGAACACATCACTACCAAGAGGACTTTCTGCACACAGTGGAACCAGACGGACGTCCCCAACTCTGGCAATACGGAAGCGTATTGCTGCCACACTGAGAAAAAAAAAGTTGGCTCAGTATCACGTAATTACGTGATAAGTTTCACGTTATTTCGTGATAA